AGAGAGAGAGAGTGAGAGAGGAGAGAGAGAGAGAATGATTCTCATACTAGAGCTGGTCACTGGTAGGGTGCGGGCAAGTGAGAGAGAGATAGAGAGACTTCGATTCGGCTTCCCCGTCACTCTCTAGCGGCGGCGGCGATCATGGCTTCAGCTGAGAGCTCTGTCGCTTCGATTAAATCGCCCACCTCCTCCGCTACGCGATCGGGAATTTTCTCCGGGTTCTGAGTTCCGTCGCATCACTTAAATCGCCCACCTTCTCCAATTCGTCGTATTTACGTTGTCGAATTGTACGTTTCGGTTGGGTGTCGTTAGTGGTGCGGATCGAAGATTGCACGAGTCGTTTCGGCGTGGCTTAAATCTGCCACGTCCGTGACGAATTTCGTCTAGCGGCGCAAATTTTTGCGATGGTCGCGCGGCGCGTGAGATTTTCGTGATGCGGAACGTTTCGGGTCGCGCCGGCGATTCGTTTTTGAGCTTTTATTTGAGGTTTAAGGTTTCTCTGATGGAATTGAAATCATGTGGTCGCAGATGTTTGATGTAGCGATAACGTAAGCTTAATGTATAAGTTTCATTACAAGGAGGCTGGTGTTGGAAGTCAGGGTCTCTCCTTGGCACATGAGGCAGTTTATTAGATTCGTGATTTCTCTTCAGGAGCTAAAGCTACAAATAATTGCTAGAAATTAGTAATTATGAGTAATTTCAAGTAATTACTTATGGAAACGTGTAAAGGAATATCAAGCATTTGTCTGTCATCGTTTAATATGTTAATTTGTTATAACATCCCGGCCTCCCCCGCACCCGGGAGGAGGGATGTTTGCTTAGATGAAGCCCCTGATTTGTAACGAAGCAGATGAGGTTAGTGGATGCTGCACGAGCAATCATGGTAAACCCACCTATCAGATTGCAAACATACAGCGGCAGCAGCAGCAGCCGATCAGATATGTATCTGTATTCACGTTAAACGATTGCAGCAGACGTGAAATTCAACCGTGAGCGTTCAGGGCTGCTCAGATAAATATGTGTCTGTAGGTAAACGATTGCGGCAGACGCATAATTCGAGTATGAGATATGTATCTGTAGTTTCCCCGCTACCGCCGCCGCAGCCGCAGAATCAAACAACAGCAGCGGCATGGTGCTGATCAGATATGTATCTGTACTTTTCCCTGCCCGCAGCTGCTGCTGTTAAATTATTTCTGGCGCGCGCCCCACGGCATGGGCGAGTGTGCATCGTGTTCTCGCATTTTAATAATCTGCTCGTTGTGTGGCGTGTACAAGTCAATAACATGTTGTTTTGCGTCTGGTGCGCGGTCTAGGCTGCTCGCTGGCTGTAAGGTGGCTGTGATGCAGCCAACCTCATTCCACGATTCACGTTGATTCACTCACAACTCGCTCGACTCTGCAGGAATGCGAATGAAATTTTAATAACGTTTAGAAGTGCGGTTAACCGTAGCGGAGGGTTTGCGCGCGAAAGCGGTTCCGGAACCGATTCGTACTGCCGTGTGATTTATGGCGGCACTGTCGTGTTATTCGGATGTCGGAATTAGATTTCGTTACGTACACGGGATGCCACTAGCGATGGTAATACTAGAGATCCACCGGCTATATTGCTGAAGTTTTTTTTGCAGAGGTTACGCCTCGTGTGCCGGTTATATTTCGTCGTATTCACTTTACTTCTGGACAGGTTTCGACGTTATTTAATTACAGTTTAATGGTCGGACTATAAAGTCTGTGAGTCACTTGACTGTAATGTCTTTGACCTGCTAGACAGCTACGCTAGGCACCCTCATGCAATCAACTCTCTCTTGTCCACCTCTCTTTTTTTCGTTCTTTCTTTCTCGCTCTCTCACTCACTCCCAATCCCCCACTCTCTATCACCCACTATCACACTCACCCTCACCCTCCTCTCACTTTCTCACCTTCCCACCACCTCCCTCTCCCTCCCTCTCTCTTTCTTCTCTCTCTCTCTCTCTCTCTCTCTCTCTCTCTCTCTCTCTCTCTCTCTCCCTCTCTTTCTCTCCCTTCCTCTCTCTCTCCCTCC